TCATGACTATCCACTGAAACCGGGAAAGGTAGGAGGCCTGCTTTAGTGTCTCCTGAGCAACAATCATAAGTACCCCAAGTACCAGGAAATCCACTACTTGGGTTGTACTCAGAGGTGTAACTAGAAACAATGGGGCCCCGGTGCATTGCCCTGGGCCCCCCATACGTCTATCCCCCACCCCATTCGTCCCTGTCCCCATTCATCTACCCCTACCCCATACATCCCCACCCCATACCGCTACCACCCACGCGTCCCCGCCCACCCACACATGCAGTCAAACAGATACACACGCAGACAAACACACACATACACACACACAGAGACACGTACATACACACACATACACCCAGATATACTGATACAGACATTCTCTATCACACACACAAACTGTTAAAATAAACTTATTGAATTACTGTCCAGTGGCTGCCTCATGCTGATGGGAGTCAGAGCTCCCACTCTGACTCCCTCCTCTTCTCCTGTGCGGCACTCTGTTGGCTGGGAGGAAGTGGCGGCTTCCTCCCAGCTCTGACATCATCACTGGGGCCCAGTCGCTCCTTCAATGCAGCCCCGGCGGTTTTTCCGCGCGGTCGGCGCCGCACCAAAATGTTGGCGGGCACCCCGGTCGCAGGGGTCAACATAGCGTGAGGACATCCAGCATCATTTGAAACACTTTTCGTGTTTTAAGAACACAGAAGTCCCCTCCAGTGACTGTTTATAAAAACTGCAATAATTACACTTTCAGGATTAAGAGTGATGGGAGTTGGCACCCAGACCACTCCAATGGGCAGAAGTGGTCTGGGTGCCTGGAGTGTCCCTTTAAATTTGAAATTCACTTTGAATTCTCACTTTAGTAAATAAACCTGTCTGTGTAAATGTGGTTGGTAGCTTTTGCAGGTTGTTGTTTTTTTTTTTTGTCAAATGCCCCCAAAGAAAACATGCAGGGGGAAAAAAAAGTATGCATGCTTTCTTTGGGGGCATGTTTACCAAATAATTAAAAAATTAAAAACAAAATTAATGGAGTGTTCCTTTAAATAATATTATTTTATAGATCAGACAGTTCTACAATTAATTATAATTTTATAGTGTGTTGTCTTTTTGTAAGAGATTGACAAATCCTAGCCTAATCTGTGCATGTAATTGTTTCCGTGACACAAACGTTTTCAGCTGCATATACTTAAAGGACCACTATAGTGCCAGGAAAACATACTCGTTTTCCTGGCACTATTGTGCCCTGAGGGTGCCCCCACCCTCAGGGTCCCCCTCCCGCCGGGCTCTGGGGAGAGGAAAAGGGTTAAACTTACCTTTTTTCCAGCACCAGGCGGGGAGCTCTCATCCTCCTCTCCGCCTCCTCTCCTCCCTTTCGGCTGAATGCGAATGCGCGCATTCAGCCGGTCTCATAGGAAAGCATTCATAATGCTTTCCTATGGACGCTTGCGTCTTCTCACTGTGATTTTCGCAGTGAGAATCACGCAAGCGCCTCTAGCGGCTGTCAATGAGACAGCCAATAGAGGATTTGGAGACTGGATTAACCCTAACATAAACATAGCAGTTTCTCTGAAACTGCTATGTTTATTAAAAAAAGGGTTAATCCTAGCTGGACCTGGCACCCAGACCACTTCATTAAGCTGGTCTGAGTGCCTAGAGTGGTCCTTTAATGCACCCACAGCTGCTATGAAACCTGAAGGTCTTCCATATCATTCTTTAAATTTTTTTTTAATTTTTTTTTATAAACATCATAATTTCTTTGGTTAACTGATTAAGCCAACGTGTACCTGTCCTTGCCAGGTCTAGGCCAAGTATGGCTCTTAATCTGTTCTTGTATTACAAACCAATGTTACTTATAGAGTCAGAATGATGCCAAACATGTCAAGAGCTTAGTCCAGCATTTCTGTGGTTGCAGCTGTGTAATTAACCCCCTTAAGGACCAAACCTCTGGAATAATAGGGAATCATGACATGTCACACCTGTCATGTGTCCTTAAGGGGTTAAAAGGTCACATTTGACAATCTGTTGTCTACATGGGCAGATATGTCGCTTAAATTTGTAGGTACTAAAACTATTTTCTTGCCATTCCATAAATTAAGGTGTCTTGGAATAGTTCAATGTGATTTGATGCATTTTTAAATATGAAAGTGTTAACAGGCACTTACATGATATTTAAATGACTGATATTTATATTTAGACTGATAAGCTACAACATTAAAACCACATGCCTAATATTGTGTAAGTTTCCCTTGTGCTGCCAAAAGAGATTTGATGCATCGAAACATGGACTCCACAAGAACTCTGATAATGTCCTGTGGTATCTGGCACCAGGACATTAGCAGCTGAGTAGATTCTTTAAGTTCTGCAAGTTGTGAGGTGGGTCCTCCATGGATCGAATTTGTTGTTCAAGCATATGCCACAGACAGTCAATCGGGTTGAACTCTGGGGTTTGAAGTCTTTGTCACGTTCCTCAAACCATTTCTGATCAATTTTTGTAATGTGGCAGTCAACATTATCCTGCTGAAAGAGACCACTGCCATCAGTGAACACCATTGCCATGGAGGGGTGTAATGTGGTATGCAACAATCTCTAGGTAAATTGTATGTGTCAAAGAACCCAAGGTTTCCCAGTAGAACATTGCCCAGAGCATAAAACTGTCTCCAACAGACTGCCTTCTTCTCATAGTGCATCCTGCTGACATATCTTCCTCAGGTAAATGACACATACGGCCATCCAGCTGATCTTAAAGAAAACATGATTCATCAGACCAGGCAACTTTCCTCCATTGTCCCATGGTCCAGTTCTGACACTTATGTCCCTATTGTTTGCGTGAGTAGTTTAAAAGTTTTTCTCTGTGGTGAAGCGAGATGATGTAGGGCGTGCTTCTGCGTCATCGTGGAACGCGTCTGAGGGACCGATCAAGGGAGCCTAGCAGGAGGAGGGGTTTAAACCCGTCTCACCTGCGGTGATTCCCAGGGTGCTGTGAGAAGCGCTGTGAGGGAGGACCGGCTGATGTATGAGGGAACAGGGTGAAGAGAGACGCACCGGAAAGAGCCGCAAATGATTACTATGGCGGGCAGACCTTAAGGAGCCTAGCATGGGAGAGCATATACAGGGTGAAAACAAACACCAATAATAGATTAAATCTGAAAGTTTGGACGTACCACCATAAGATAAGTACAGACAGTCACATAGTTGTCAGTACTTAATATAATGTTACATTGCATAATTAGTAGCTACAAAATTTTATACAGTCACTTTCAGTCTACAATACAGAGGCTAGTATGAAGAAAATAGACCCCTAAGAGAAAGGTGGAATTGGAGGGCAAATAGAGAGCAGCATACAGAGAGCAAATAAGGATATAAAGACTATCCAATTTAAGTCAATCCCTCATGGCCCCCTCCCGCCAGACTCTAGAGGGAGGAAGGGGTTAAACGCTTAATTTTCTCCAGCTCCCAGCTCCCTCGGTGCTGGGGACTATCCTCCCTCTTCTGACATAGTTACATAGCTGAAAAGAGACTTGCGTCCATCAAGTTCAGCCTTCCTCACATATGTTTTTGCTGTTGATCCAAAAGAAGCAAAAAACCTAGTCTGAAGCGCTTCCAATTTTGCAACAAACTAGATAAAAATTCCTTCTTGACCCCAAAATAGCAGTCAGATGTCTCCTTGGATCAAGCAGCTATTACCCCACTAATTAGAAATTATATCCACGTATGTTATGTTTTTGCAAGTATTTATCCAATTGCAGTTTAAACATCTGTATAGACTCTGACAAAACCACCTCTTCAGGCAAAGAATTCCATATCCTTAATGCTCTTACTGTAAAAAAACCTTTTCTTTGCCTTACATGAAATCTCCTTTCTTCAAGCCTAAATGTGTGACCTCGTGTCCTATGTATAGCCCTGTTTATGAATAGATTTCCAGATAATGGTTTGTACTGGCCCCGAATATATTTGTATCATCCGCTGAATGCGCATGCATGGCAATAGCCGCACGCGCATTCAGTCAGTCCATAGGAAAGCATTTCTCAATGCTTTGCTATGGACAGCAGCTTCTTCTCACTGTGAAAATCACAGTGAGAAGCGCAGAAGCGCCTCTAGCGGCTGTCAATGAGACAGCCACTAGAGGCTGGATTAACCCAATTATAAACATAGCAGTTTCCCTGAAACTTCTATGTTTATAGAAGAAAGGGTTAATCCTAGCTGGACCAGGCACCCAGACCACTTCATTAAGCTGAAGTGGTCTGGGTGCCTATAGTGGTCCTTTAAGGAGGTTCTCTCTCATCTATTTCAATATGCTTTGCTATGGACAGCAGCTTCTTCTCACTGTGAAAATCACAGTGAGAACCGCAGAAGCGCCTCTAGCGGCTGTCAATGAGACAGCCACTAGAGGCTGGATTAACCCAATTATAAATATAGCAGCTTCCCTGAAACTTCTATGTTTATAGAAGAAAGGGTTAACCCTAGATGGACCTGGCACACAGACCACTTCATTGAGCTGAAGTGGTCTGGGTGCCTATAATGGTCTTTAAGGCTTTAAGGAGTATTTATGGAGCACCCTATCACCTCAAAAAAAAGGGAAAGGAAAGGAAGGGGGAAAAAAAAGTCAAAAAGGGAAGAAAAAAGGTAGAAGAAAAGGAAGGGAAAGTAGGGGAAGTGAAGGGAAAAGGGTGAAAAAGGAAGGAAGAGAAAAAATAAATAAAAGATGGTCAATGAAAGAGATGCCATTGGTGTAGAAGAGAATGACTTAGGTTGAAATAAAATAAGCACAAAAGATTAATATACAGAAAAGCAAAGCCAACACTAGCCTAAAGAGTATATAATCTTCAGGAAAAGGAAAAATACACTAGATTAAAAATATAAACTAAAAGAAAAGTGCCACAAAAAAAGGCACCAAACATCAAGCACCTAGAAAAAGCCAGAAAATAAAACAGAAAATTGGCTCTCCTTTTCACCAAACCCAGCAACCAATAAAACAAACACTGAGGAATCAATTCTCTCTAATATCCCCTTAGAAGAAGGTACTAACAAAAGACAAATGGAGGAAAACCAAGATTTATGTCAAAGAGAAGGGAGAAGTGAATATGACTATTTACTCAGTCACTTAGACACACAATTTGGGAAGCTGAGAGTAGAAATACAAGCTAACACTATAGACATCAAGAAAGAACTGCTGACTCGTAATCAACGATTCCTAGGAATAGAAGAAAAATTAAATGGGCTGGAACATGATGAAAACGCCCACAAAGAAGAACAGCTGGCACTAGAGAAAAAGATGGCTGATATAGAGAACAAATTGGTAGACCTAGAAGACCCGTCAAGACCGAACAATTTAAGAATTAGAGGAGTATCAGAGCAAATAAATCTAAAAAATCTAGAACCATATATAGAAGAATTTCTTAAACACCTGAAGGTTGAATGAGACCTTAAAATCCCTATGATGGAAAGATGCCACAGAGTGAACAATACTAAAGGCGTCCCTGAACATCTACCAAGGGATGTAATGATATGCTGTGTCTCCTCCAAAATTAAGACGCAAATTCTGAGTGCCATAAGAAGTAATGAATGCACAGAAGAATATGAAACATTGAAACTATTCCAGGATCTATCATGGCCAACCAGACAAAAGAGGAAGACCTTTTCTGAAGGCACACTAATTCTGAGACAGAACAATATCAATTATCGATGGGGGTTCCCCACGAAAATTATTATATAACATGAAGAGAAACTCACCTACATTAACAGTGCAGAAGACTTGAAAGGTTGGTTAAATACAAATAAAGTTGGAATCAGGCCCAGACATTAGCCAACTAATCGGGATGTCCCAAATATTTAAAGGAATGGAGAAGGAAAGGAAGGAGAAGGAGGGGGAAGGGAGAAAGAGAGGGAAGGGAATTATATAAGCAGTGTTGGCCTGCAAGGCAGGAAGAGAAGGGAAGAAGGGAAGGGGAAAAAGTTTATTTTTTTCTATCTTCACTGTTTTTTGTTTTTTTGTTTATTAAAAAACAAAATCTCCCACAAGAGCCAGGATGATAGAAAAACAGGAAAATAGTTGATAACTGACTGCAAAACCTAATGAACAATCATAATCTAAGAGATATATGGAGAACATTCCTTCCTGCCGATTTAGACTACACCGCTATTCGAAAACATTCAATTCATATTCCAGAATAGACCCTGTCCTGGGAAACGTGACCATTCTATATCTTGTCAAAAAAATAGAGATACAGGATATAGCATGGTCAGACCATAGCCCTATCATGTTGGAATACAAAGATAACTTTGATAATTTTTGTAAAGAGTGGCGCATAAAAGATTTTATATTACATAAAAAAGTAATGTGGAAGAAATTTTTAAAAATAGCAAATCTTTTTCTTTGAAAATAAAAACAAAGGCACATCGGACATTATGGTCTGGTGTGCTTATAAAAGTGTAATTAAAGGCCATTGAAAATAAAAAAGAATTACCACCTCTCTTTAAATTATATATAACACTAAGCAAATATAAAAAAGGCAAAATAAAACACCACCCTCCATACAAACAGCAAGTAAGATTGCAGAAACAGAAAAACAGATTAACAATCAATTAATGAATATAGCATCCAAACAATTAGAAGCATTACAAGCTAAATGGTACCTAAAAGGCAATAAACCAGAAACAATTATGTCCAATAAATTGAAAAAAGATAAACATAAAAGAGTAACATATAAAATAAAAGATAAAGATACCTACTTAATGGCCCCAGGAAAAAAATAGGTCTAGCTTTGAAAAAATTTTAAAGTAACGTTTGGCAATGAAAAAGAGATTGAGAAATTCTTTGAAAATCTGTCCATGCCAAAATTTCTACCTGACCAATTAAGACTGATAAACCAGCCCATAACAGAACTAGAGGTTACTAAATCTATAGATAAACTTAAAATAAAGACTGCTCCAAGCCCAGATGGCTTCACAAAAGAAATCTACAAGCTAATGAAAGATCAATTAAAAGGGGAACTAACTAGTATTTTTAGCTATATAATGGAAACAGGAGACTGTCCTGGAGAGCTGTTGAGAGCGAACATTGTTCCCATCCCAAAAACAGATAAAGACCTAGATCATATTGGCAACTACAGACCTATATCATTAATTAATACAGACATTAAAATACTACCTTCCATTCTTGCTGATAGACTAAAAATAGTAAAACCACAATTGATCAAAAATGACCAAGCCAGATTCATACCAGGGAGATACCCAATTAATAATCTCAGAAAAATAATAAACATATTAGAAGAAACTTTAAACCAGTTTGGAATCATTGGATCAATTTCACAAGCCATGTCCACTCTCTACAGCTCTCCATCAGCTAAGGTAACAGGCTCAGGATTTACAACACAAAGCTTTAATATAAAAAATGGGACTAGACAAGGGTGTCTGCTTTCCCCTCTAATTAAACATTAAACATTTACGCAGATTATATTTTACTAACATTAGAAGAACCAAATATTTCGGTCCCAGAATTATTGAAGGATATAAATACTTATTCTAAGGTTTCAGGATATAAAATAAGCTTAGAGAAATCAACATTTATAGCTAAAATGTGAACAAAAATTTCTTGTAAAAGACATTGGGCTCCCCAAAAATAACAACAGGTTACAATATTTGGGCATTACCATAACCTCAGACCTAAATATTTAGTAGAAGCCAATTTCCTTCCTTTACTAAAACAAACTAACAAAAATCTAAGGGACTAGAAAGGCATGGACTTTCTTGGTCGGGTAGAATTAACATTCTAAAAAGCACACATTTTGCCAAAATGGTTATACTTGTGGAGAATGATTCCTATTAACTTCCCAGAAAACTGTCTGTCATTACTACACTCCTCTTTTTTTTAAATTAATATGGGGGGGGCAGAAAACCAAGAGTTAAAATGAACGTTTTGGCCAGATTAAAGCAGGTCGGAGGCTTGGGGTGCCCAGAAATTGTGCAATGTTATCAGGCTAGTAGACTTTTCCATATAATGCTCACACAAAGTAAAGCGGCAACTCAAGAAATATGGTACAAAATGGAAAAAGCTAAAACTGGGGTTGGAAATTTAACCTCATTTTGAGTTGTAGAGGTAAACAAAAAATATATGAGAGAGGCTCAAACCAAATCCCAGATAACTTAAGAGTTAACAAGATGGTGGGACAAGTTTACAAATAATAAAGGTCTCAGAAATAAAATAGATGTGCTCCCACTCTCAAGTGTTTCAGATCTGTTAGAAAATATAAAAATAGACATTTGGATATCAAGGGGGATAAGGGAACTTAAAGTTATAGCAGTGAAACATAATCTCACACCCTTTAACCAAATTAGGAAGGAATTTAATATTCCCCCTAGTGAAACGTTTAATTATCTGCGAATTAAGAGCTTCTTAACAGAACACCTCTATAAAAACAAGGAGGAGAACACCATAAACCTTATACATCTATTTGAACTTAAAAATGATAAACATTTACTGCCAAAGTGTGCCAAAGTTGTATATGGATGGAGTTCGACAAACCGATAGCACTGATCAATAAATGGGGAAAAGAACTTCAAGTACATATAGAAGAAGAATAGATAAATTCCTTAAACAAACTAAATAAATATATACACTGCCTAAACCTCACAGAGATTCAATTTAAACTAGCAAATAAATGGCATTTAACCACGAAACATTTAAAGAAAATTTACCCAGAGTTATCAGAGAGATGTTGGAAATGTAATATTGATGACGGTAATTTGATCCACAGCTAGTGGCAGTGCACATCCACAAACACATTTTGGAAAGAAGTAATTAAGATAATATATCAAATAACAGAAATAATACTACACATAATCACTGCGGCTAAATTACGCTTAGCACAAAATTGGAAAACAGGGAAAATTCAATGCATTAATGAACTAATAAAACAAGTTATATGGCAGGCAAGAATGGAAAGGGGTATTCTGTTGAATTTAGGAAATAGATATAAGCAAATAGAAGACTGGGACACATGGATAAACAAAATGGATAATATATCAGGTTTTCTCTGCTCTATGTAGTGATGTTTCTTTTTTTTAGTTTTTCCCCCCCCTTCTTTCAGAATTTGATTGGAACATCCAATAGAGAGAGAGTGTATGCTCAGTTACAGAGAAGGGATGTATTAGACCAAAGGAAGGGAGAAGAAAGAAAAAGAATAGAACTCCAAAACCAACAGACAAAGAGAATAACAAAATATCAAAACTATATATGATATAAGAGGTTCTCTATCTCCCCAAGACCAGATGAATAAAGCAAATCGATAAAAACCTATATTACGAATTAATTAATAGGGATAGGAGGGGATCCAGGTGGGAGGGTTTGGCAAGATTAATAGAATTGTAAGAAATATTTATGCTATACTTATGATATTGATGATGACACAGTACCAAGGCCTGAATCACATAAGTATCATTAAAACTTATATAAGGCAGGTACGCGTCTGAAAAAAGAAAAGAAAAGAAAAGTTTTCCTCTGTTGGAGACAGTGGTGTCTCTGGGGGGGGGGAGGAGGCATGGCCCCCCTACATCATGCAGAGGCCCCCCCTCATGCCCTCCCCAATTGAAAATGAAGTTGGGAGCACTGAGTCTCCTTTCACAAGATGCAGCAGTGCTCTCACTGTGGAACTGTGTTCCACTATTTTACCATGTGCGGCCAGAAGAGGCACTTTGCTGGGAGGACTTCCTCCTGGATCACAGAAAGCAGCGCAGGGGAGAGACAGGGAGAGGAAGCTCAGCTCTGCACAGAGGCATCCAGGCAGCTGCTGGTAAGTGTGGCAGTGTGTGTGGTTCAGTCTGTGTGGTGTGTGGCGATGGAGGGGTGGGGGTTAAGTGTGGGGTTGGGGGATACAGTCTGTGTGTATGGGTCAGGTCAGTCTGTGTGTGTGTGTATGGGTCAGTCTGTGTGTGGGGCGAGGGATTCAGTCTGTGTGGAGGGGGTTCAGTCTCTGTGTGTATGGGTCAGTTTGTGTGTGTGTGTGGGTCAGTCTGTGTAAGAGCTTGAGCTCCAAGAGAGATACCTCTCATCTCGTGACCTCCCCCTGTACCCTATGGATAGGCAGCCCTCTCAACCACCACCGATCTGATTGTGCCACCCCCTCCCTGCAAGGTAAGATCAGGGAAAGGGGAATATTCTTTTTTTTTCTTTTTTTTAAACAATTATTAAAGTAAAAAATTGTAAAGCTCTTCACTATCCCACTGTCTACACCCACTGAACACAGTACACCCTCACAGCCAGTGAACTCCCCACATACAGTACACTCCCACCAACACAGAGTACACCTTTGCATACACACACAGTGCACCCCTCACACACATCATCTCTTCACCCCCACACACACACTTCTTCCCCACATACATACATACTTCACCCCATTACACACCAGATTTCATAGCTGT